GCTTGGATGCAGTCCTGTGCCACGTGCTCTAGGTGACCCTGCGTGTGCAGGAGGGTTGGACTAGATGATCTCTAGAGGTCCCTTCCAACCTTAAGCATTCTATGATTCTATGACACTATGTGAAACACGAGCATTGAGTGTTTCCCAGGGCTGCCAAGGCCTTTTGCCGACTCTGGAGTACAGGCCCATCCATCCCTCCCTTGGCTCCAACAGCACGAGCCACCCCTGCCCCTTCCTGCCCTCCGGGAAGCTGCTCCCTGTTGTGCTTCATGGCACAGCACAGATCTTGTCGAGCATCCCGTCCAGCCTGCGTGAAGCCACGTGGGCAGCACTGTCGGCACCGGGTGCCAAGCTCTGGCTCGTGTCGCCACCCACAAAAGCATCCAGAGAAGTGCACCCACATGTGGAGGCCCACCTCAAGAACAGCAGTACAGGATGCCTTGCTAGCAGATGATCAACCTCAAGGATGGCAGTGCAGGTGTCTTGTTAATTAAACTCAAGGATGGCAGTACAGAATGTCTGTACTGTAATGTCTGTACAGATAAGGAACAAAGCAAACAAAAAGAAGAAAACTGCAACTGCACGGCTGGTGCGTGATCAAGAAACTTATTAGATAATTTTGACGTAATTCTTTATCGACTATTGGCTTATTTAGCAACCACGCTTCGCGTGCTTGTAGGCAAATAAGGATTGTATCTGGCTTAGTACAGTATATAAGTTGTATCTGATGCTCAATAAAGGGTCTTTGGTTCATTATACCGGAGTCCGGTCCGCGCGCATCATACACTGCACCCACAGGGCACAGGAGCAGCTATTCCCCTCCGCCTCGCTTTGGAAAGGGTGTTGCTCCAACTACCCTGATTTTTTTTTTTTTTTATAAAGAGAAGTAGGAAAATTCTACCTTTTTCTTGACTTATTGAATATTTGCCTTTGAGGCCCTGCCCTTGCTGTAAGAGTAAAGCAAAGAGCTGCACATTTTGGCCTCTGTTTCACCACACAGACGTGACACTCAAGGCCCAAAAAGCAGGTTTCTGTGCCCGAGATCCCCGTGTGCGTGGCCTCCTTGTGCCAGCTGAGCTCCCCTCCCCTCACTGCCTGGGAGCTGTTCAGCTGCTCAGAAATAGAAGCATTTAATTAGAAAGCCACTGGTCGTTTCAAAGAAATAAAGGCCCCTCTGTATGGTAGAAACCCTCAGCTGAAGCTGAGGAGGCGAGGAGAACAGGAAAACTGAACTATGATGTTGGGCTAGTCTTAGGTGGGCTAGAACATGGGAAGATAAAAATCAGAAGGTTCCAGGGCAGCTGTGCCCTATTAGAAAAACGGATTCAGGTTGTGCCATGCTGAGGTACTCTTCCAGAAGTAACTCAAGGATCACTAGCACTGCTTAAGCTGCACAGTAAGTGACTGGGTCTGACTAACTTGCATCCAGGACTTTTTAGAGAGCTCCCAAGAAACCATATGGACCATTGCAATGCCTTTCCTCAGTTCTGAAACACAAGGGTCTTCTGCAAAACCTGAACTTGGTACCAAACAGTATTTTGATTATGGGACTTAATAACACAAAAAATGCCATGGAACTCAATTAATCGACTAGCTAATTCAAAACATTCCTTCAGGTAGTTGTAAATGGCAAACTGTAACTTATTTTGTGTAGGTTTCTGAGATCTTGATTTTTGACCCTGTATACTTCCTCCCCCCCTCCATTCTGCAGCAATTTCCTTACAGATCATGCTGACAGAAATGGATGAATTCACAAGAACAATAGTTGGGTTTGTGCCTACATCAACAAAGAGCTCGGCCATTATGCGGCATACACAGCCCTCGTGCAGTCATGAACAGGGGCCACGCGGGGCCGGGGGAGCCAGCACCCCTTCCTGAGACACCAGTGATCCTCAAGTAACGAAGCATGAAGCAAACCAAGCCCTTGGGGGCCCGGCAGATAACAAACACGAGCACAGTGCTGGGCTCAACGCTGGGACTGCTGCAAGGGAAAGGGCACACGTGGCTTAGTCCATCAGGCTTAGACCAGTGGCTTAGTTCATCAGGCTGCCCCAGAGCGGCCCCAAGCGTGCCGGCCGCCTCACAGCCTGCCCCACTACCTACACTTTGCTGGGTTGCTCTGCCCACTCGTAAACCCATGGCAAGCTTGATACAGTGAAATATTTACCTTTATGCTTTTAAAAGCAACACAATCTAAATGCTTTGGCCTCTGAGCAAGGGACAAAGCAGCCTTGCCCAGGAACTGTGCCTGCTCGCGGGACATCAAGACCCGCAGCCACATTAGCAACGATGCTATCGGGGCAAATCAGTAATTACCTGAGCCAAAGCCTTTCGTTGTAATGGCTGCCTCCACACGAGCAGGTACAGACCATCCTGAACTTGCTGTGCTCTTGCTGGCACCCCAAATAACAGTGCCCTGAGCCAACGTGGCCATGCGGCTCCCAGAGGGCAGCCACTGCCAGCTTGGGGCCACTGGCGCTCAACCCGCAAGACCATCACAGAGAACAGCAGGGGAGAATACATAGTGACCAAGGCACATAAGTCCTCCTTCAGCTTGGGTTCTGCTTTCTTTCCTTGTTTTGCCTGATGCTGTACTCTATCTTTTTCCTTGGGACATAACCTTGCTTCTCCGCAATCTATTCCACACACTAATACTCGGACCATTTTCCTAGCCAATATTATCCTTTCCCTTACCATCCCTCCACTGATTCTTGCCTCTTCCCCCAGACATCAAGTACAAATGCTTTGACTTCTTTCAATACTTTTCATCATCTAACCCTCCACACCTCTGTCCCATGGTGTCCTAGATACACAGAAGCAGCCCAGGGAAGAGGGAAGACAAGGGAAAAGAATGTAGAAAAAGCTTTCCAAAAATACAGTGTCCCTTCTTTCATCAGGTTTTAAGGCTCACCACATAGTACCAGGCTCTCAAAATGCTGCCAGTTAGATTAGGAATCAAGGTTTTGATTCTGTAACCAAATACTTAATAGGCACAGTGCCCTTCCATTGACGCAAGGTTTCATCCCCACCCAAGTCTGGTAAGGACGTGGAACTGCTGAGATTGGGGCCCTCATGCTGGATTTGCACCTGCAAAGGAACTGAAAAACTGTCTCACAAGCTGGTGGCCAAATACTGCAAAACTTCTTTAAAAGTCTCTTTTTAAGGAGTCCAAAAGAGACGTGTACTTGCTGTGGCTTACTCCCAAAACACCTCCAAAAGTCTAAAGGCTACAGTGCTGCAATAAATACTTTTAGAACTACTTCAAACTTGGAAATTTATAGCCAAACAACAGAGAGACTCATTTGCAAGGGTTAGATTCCTTTTACATAACATTAGGATGATTATTTGATCTCTGCAATGGTAAAGGAGACACATGATGCTATGCCAAGACTCTGGCTCAGTAAAGGACTGCACTGAAATACATTTGACATTTTTAGTGTTACTTTTAATATTAAAATAGTCTAATTAAAATTAATTAAATCTGTCCTTTCTCACTTCTCAAGAAAAGGCAGGTGAGGCCCTATAAGCATCATGCAAAGCTTTTGCTCACTGTGTGGCTTCAGGAGCTAGGACTACTCCAGGGTCTGTCTCAAAGCAATGGAATCAATAAATACCCAGCACTTTCAAGAAACATTTCATTATTAACCAGTCTCAGCTTCCCAATCTGGATAGATACTTGGAAGGTCAACTCTACTACAACCAGGCTGAATTAGTTTCAGGAGTCTTTGAACTTTAAACAACCCAGAACATAATTATTAAATTAGAGAACAGATAGAGAAAGCCCACTTTCAGATGTTCCATTTCCCATTCAAAGCCATCAAATGCTCTAAATTAAGAGGGCAATTATCCTTCCAGTTCACACAAACAGCTACTCTTTGTGCCATTTTCTTCCTACAGCTGAGCTTTCAACATTAAGAACTGGAAAAGAAATTTGGCAGTACTGAAAAGCATGTTGTTGAAGGCTGCTTAATGACTTTGAATCACTTTTCTGTTTGGATAAAATGTATTCATTTTTTGTTAGGGATACAAACGGCATGAAAACCATACTACTGGTGAAAAAATGACTATATGAAATTTGGTTACGAGCATGTAACTTGTCTTCCAAACACTTCAGTTCCTTGGACTATTCACTTTATTGTCAATCTAAGCAACTAGCAAGTCGAAGTAATTTCTGGCAAGAAGTTTCAGCATGCACAGGTTAAGTAATTTTAAAAGGCATAGGTTATGGACAACACCATGTCTGTACTGGGCATTCTTGCAGGGCTGCCATCAACTTCTGATGGCCGGCAGCCATGAGAAAAGGTTGTGGAGAGTGGAGCACAGAAGCCCTCAAGCATTAGCCAGTCTGCTCATCTGCGTTGCTTCCACATGGTGAATTCAACTATACCCGAAGGGAAAGGTTTTGCAGATAACAGGCACACAGGAAGCAGAGACCCAATGGGACCAGCAAGTGGTTTCACAAGGAAGCCACCCCAGGCATGCTGCACCACCAAAGCAGAGGCCTGCAGCTACTGAAACCTCCTGGGCCTCTAGGGCAAGCTGGGTCACAACCGCATAGCGGGCCTCGTGCCATGTTTGAGGCAGAAACTAAGTTTCAGTCCTATGCTGCTTCACTTTTAAAAGTTAAATCCAACCATTTTCCCCTCCCCTTAGAAAGAGGCATTTATCTCAGGAAAGCTATACTATGACTCTGAAAAGCTTGATTTTAAAGTCTAGTTTTAGCCACAGTTCCCTTTATTCTTTTGAAGATTTTTAATTGAAAAGACAATTAAATAAGAACTGCATCTGCTGTGGTTAGAGGCCATGGGAACATGATGATTCACATACACTTGAGAAACCTTTGTAAAGGGATCAGCATTGTGGCAGTCTGTGACACAACACCAATAACACAGAATGGAAATTATAATTGCAGCACTTGAAGAGCTATCTTTTTAACATTTTCCATCCCTCTGCTACAATACCAGAGACTCGTGCAGTGTTAGAGTGAACCTGTGAGGAATCCCATGCCAGAGAGGCCTTTAGCAGCTAGGATTAGGCTGTCCTTTCTGTTTCCTCTGCTGTTACTTTCTGTGTGCTGACAGAGGCCAAGGGACAAAATATCTCCTCTAAAACCCACACTGAGGTTCCTGATGAGCTTCTCATTTGAAAAAGGTCTACCCACAGAAAAATTGTTCTACCATAGCACTGTAACATATTCTAGTGAATATGTTCTGCCTGGCCAGGGTGGGCTGAGTTTATTGCAATGGGTTTCTACTAAACAAAAGAGGAAGGCCACTAGTCCTATGATCCTTGACTCCTCTTTCCGTTGTGAAATAAACTTGAAGGGTGAGCAATCCAGAGGAATAAGCACAACACAGACTTGTCCCTTCCACTCCCTCCACTTCCAGAACACTCCCTCAAAGTGGTGGGGTGGAGGGAATCAAGTGTTTCTTGATGCCACAGAACAGTCCCCAGTGTACATGAAGAGACCTAAAAGGAGCCCCGTTTCTCCTCATGAGTAATAGTAGAGTTGTGTCTCTCACTTATGTGCACTTTCATTTTGTTTGCTACTGTCGTTGACATCATGCAAGAGATGCAAGAGATGATAGCCATCAGGATGAAGTAAAGCGCATACATGAAGCGAGTACTCGTTGACTGCTTTATCTTGGGGCAGCATTTGCAGCACAAGGAACAAGCAGCAGTACCACAGCAGCAGGCCAACTGGAAAGCAAGGCAAAAGCATAAGTCACTCCATCATCACTGCTAGCTTCCTATTGCCTAAATCAGACAGGGAAGCTGGGAGACTTCCTATGAAACTCCAGAATTTCTAAAGTCATCTCCTCCCATCTGATCAGTACTGAAGTACAGACTGTCTTGTTTATCAAAAGTCACCAGCTTTAAATACACCAATTTCTAGTTTTCCCACACACTAAGGATGAAAATGAGTATGAACTGCTCCTGATTTCTTAATCCTATTTCCTAATATCCCTTTGCAGTTTATGGTCCTGGCATGTTTTGCCCAGCAGAACAGTCATCCCAGTGATCAGGCTCTTTCCCATAATAAGCTCTCCTGCATCCACAGTGAATAAATAAATCTGTGCAAGAAGGACACGGATTGCGGATGTTTGCTTTTAGCATACGGACAAAATGACTGTGTTTCTGATACAAGCTGGAAATGGGAATGTTGCTTCACAACGAGCTGTGCAGATGCATTTTTCAAAGTCATACTGTACTTTAAAGGGAAGTATGTACATACAGGAGCACTTTTTTTTTTTTCCCCCCCACAAAGTTTCTATGCTACTAAAGACTGCAAATTAAAGGTGGGAAACTGCTTGAGTCACACTTTGGGATAGCTGTGCTCAAGGCTGTATAACAAAAACACTAGCAGTGCTAAATCTTGGGCAGTAGAGGAAGAACATGGAAATACATTTTCTTTCTAGTTCACTGCAAACAAAGTAAGAGAGAAGTGAGTTCAAAGATCACATACGTGTGTGTGTGCGCACATAAAAATAGAGGCACTGAGGCCATTTTGCCCTGTGTTTCCTCAACCCTGCAACATGTCACAGGGGCAGAGCTGCAGCTCTGCCCAGATGTTCGGGAAATGCTGCTGCTACCCAGCACGTAACTGTACATGGCAGCCAATATTTCTCAGCCCTTGCATTTTTTTTTTTTCCACCAAACGTTATTCCTATCAGCAACAGCTACATTTAAGTTGCCCTGGCCAGCTTCACTTGCTCGTGGCTGCATTTTCAGCCACCAACCCATCACATGCTATTTTCCTCCCAAGATACTTCCTCTTTCAATACTAAAAACCTAGAGAAAAAGGCAACAGTTTTGAGTCGTATCAGATACAGTACACTGCTTGGTGTATAGGAGATGGATATTTTTATGATCTGTAAGGTCATAAAAATCTCCTGGGGGAAGTGGAACACAGACCTTGAGAAAGAAGATGTTTGCTTGCCTGGGCTGAGCGATAAGGAGCACGGAGGCGGCTGCTCAGCCAGGTTCACAGCCAACCTCCTCCAAAAGCAGTTGAAGGCGGCTGCTTGATCGGGCTCGCAGCCAACTGGTTTGCATAAAAGCAGCACATTTCTCCAAGAGCTACACATAGGCCTACTTGCTTCATAAAGAGAAGGTCTAGTCCCCTTCTATTTTGGAGGACTATTTCAACTAAAGAGTCCACTTGATTTTCCAATCTGCCCACTGTCTCTTCCATATATCCCATATCTTGGGATACACGTGAGCTTAAGTCCTGCAATCCCTGTTTTTGAGTGATTAACACAGAAGCCCTGACCGCGGTGGAGCCAGCTATTCCTGCCCCAACCAGTAAT